CGTTGGGCCACTCTGCCATAAAGCCCTGACTGGTGGAGGGCTGCAGTGATGGTTGACTTTCTTTGACTTTCTACAACTTTCTCCCATCTCCCGACTGCATCTCTGGAGCTCAGCCACAGTCATCTTTGGGTTCTTCTGTATCTCTCTCACCAAGGCTCTTCTCCCCTGGTAGCTCAGTTTGGCCGTACGGCCAGCTCTAGGAAGGGTTCTGGTCGTCCCAAACATCTTCCATTTAAGGATTATGGAGGCCACTGTGCTCTTCGGAACCTTAAGTGCAGCAGAAATTTTTTTGTAACCTTTGCCAGATCTGTGCCTTGCCACAATTGTGTCTCTGAGCTCTTCAGGCAGTTCCTTTGACTTCATGATTCTCATTTGCTCTGACATGCACTGTGAGCTGTAGGGTCTTATATAGACAGGTGTGTGGCTTTTCCTAATCACGTCCAATCAGTATAATCAAACACAGTTGGACTCAAATGAAGGTGTAGAACCATCTGAGGGATGATCAGAAGAAATGGACAGCACCTAAGTTAAATATATGAGTGTCACAGCAAAGGGTCTGAATACTTATGACCATGTGATATTTCAGTTTTTCTTTTTTAATAAATCTGCAAAAATGTCAAACATTCTGTGTTTTTCTGTCAATATGGGGTGCTGTGTGTACATTAATGAGGAAAAGATGAACTTAAATGATTTTAGCATATGGCTGCAATATAACAAAGAGTGAAAAATTTTATGGGGGTCTGAATACTTTCTGTACCCACTGTACATTCATATTAATTAAAGCTGTCGCAGTTCTTCCTGCTGTCCACCTTTATGTTCTGAGTTGAACATGTCATAGGGTTAGGGTTTGAGATACTGTCATTGTCAAAAACATAGCTTATTTGTCAGTGTTTGTTGTTCCGCCGTAGAGATGTGTTCCCCATGTTCAAAATTTTGGTTTCATGTGGTGGCCCCATCAGTGGTTGCGGTTATGATAATGTTAGGATTCAGGTTATAGGAAACGCATCTTGATGGGGAAACAGATTTCGACACAACACCAGCAAGAGGAGTTGTGCACGTTCATGAGCTATCCTGTCATTTTTAGGAAGAGGCTCTCTGGTTTTATCATTCTGAAATAATTACAGACTATAAGCTAACCTAGAGGTCCACAAGATTAAACATTAAATGGCTGGAAATGAGCAAAACAAGCAACCATGAGCAATTTAAACTAACAACAACAATAATAATAATAAACTTTATTTCTATAGTGCTCTCCAGCTCCAGGAGCACCAGAGTGCTGTACAATAAAAACACACAAAACAATAACACTAGCAAAAAACAGGTAGGTGCAAACACAAATACTAACCATAACTAAAATTTAAACAGTAAAACAGGTTACGTCTCAAAAGCCTGCTTAAAAAAGTAAGTTTTTAAGGCCGACTTAAAGGCCACTAGCTCACTTTCCGCCCTTAATTCTACCAGAAGAGCATTCCACAGTCTGGGGCCATAGATAGAAAGAAAAAGCTCGGTCGCCCCATTTTTTGTGGCAGGAGTGCGGCACCGCCAGCGACAAATGATCAGCGGAGCGAAGGGCTCAACGCGGCACATAGACTGACAGCAGGTCAGATAGGTAGGATGGGGCGAGACCGCGGATAGCCTTAAAAACAAACAATAGGATCTTAAATTTAATTCTAAATTTGGATCGGAAGCCAATGAAGAGCAGGAAGAATCGGGGAGATATGGGCAAACCTGGGAGCACTGGATAGCAGCCGAGCTGCTGCATTTTGGACCAATTTCTGAAGCAAAGTCTGGGGTACTCCTACATACAAGGCATTGCAATAATCTAACCATGAAGTAATAAACGCGTGAATAGCCTTCTCCAGATCTCCATGTGACAAAAAAGGTTTAGCCTTCGTTAAGAGTCTTAGCTGAAAAAAACAAGACTTAACCACTGCCCTACTCTGTTTCTCAAAAGTAAAACCACCATCAAGAATTATTCCGAGGTTTTTCACCATATCAGATAGAGGGCCAGACAACAATCTCTGACTGAAATCTGACCAACCCTGCTGTAAGTACTGACAGTATTTTGGTCAGTACCACAGTTGCTATAACTCAGCGGTACTGTGTGCAGGTATTTCAGCAGTATTAAGTGGCAGCACTGACCTTCATGTTGGAGGCCTCAGTCTCCAGTTTGGTCAGGTGGTTGGAGTTGTCCTGCAGCTCCTGTCTCAGGTTAGAGTTCTCCATCTTAAGCACCTCCACTTGTCTCAGCAGCTGGTCGTACGACGCTGCCGCCATGTTGGATGACACGTCGCTGACCTGAAAGACATATGCCATCACACTGTAGTACTGAGCTGCAGGAGGTACACAGGGTTGTTTGTGATCAGATGTGCAAAGTCTTTAACATCTGCCTCAGACTCGAGGGCTACAGATACGGAGGCTGAGGAGGGCCAAACAGTGAGAGCAGAGGACGTGTAGGATCACATTTCATGACCAATTTATGCATAAAACCAGGAAACTGCAAACAGTGCCATTACAGTTTCTTGCAACTGTAGATTAGATTAGATCCCAAAGGAAATCCGTCTTGGATGTACACACAGTACCAGTTATAAAAAAAAACAAAATACACAACATACAATAAGTACATTACTTAGACAGCACCTATACTATCGAACTTGTACATTATACCACAATTTTAAAACTGCAGTAACAACTTATAAACAAAACATTTAACTGAAAACAACTGTTACAGTCTAAGCCTACTTGCCATTTAAGGCTTCAATAGGCATAGGAACAAAAGAATTTTTAAAATGTTGTGTCTACACAACGGAACTCTAAAACATCTGCCCAAAGGCAGAAGCTGGTACTCAGGATGGAGAATAGTGGTATCTGAAACCATCTTCTGGGCCCATCTGATAATCATTTCTCATACACGGCCTGGAGTGTGGGATGCTGCTTAACTCCCATAATTTCCATGGCTCTCTGTGTTAGCCGGGTGATTTGAGTTTTTAGCTGCACACTAAGGTTTCTAAACTCAGCCGAAATGCCATACCGCAAAACACTCAACCACAGCATGGCAGAAGAGGAGCAGCACCTTCCGATTGACAATGAAGACCCTCAGTCTGCAGAGATAATGCAGCCTCTGGAGAACTCCAATGCAAACCCTTTCTACCTGGACAATCTGTCAATTTGTTATCAAGATATACGCCCAGGTACCTGCAAGTCAACCTGAACTATATTCTGATCAAGGGTAACCACTAAGTGGTGACTGATGGATTTAGGGTCAAATATTTCCTGTTTTATTAACACTGATAAGGCAGCATTTGTCGCACCACTGGAAAAAGTTCTGAATCTCATGTACATATGTAATAATGTCTGATGTGTCTTGAGACCCAAGATGGCTGTGTCATCAGAGAACTTGATCATATATTTGTTATCAGAGGTACATGTGCAATCACTAGTATACAGAGCGATCAGGACCGTGAACTGATGCACCCCCCTGGGGAGCACCAGTACTGATGGTCAAGGGTTCAGACAATATCCTGTTCACCGCAACCTGCTAAATATGGTTAATAAGTAATGAAAGGTGCCACTTGACAATGACAGAGCTGACATCCATCTGCTGCAGTGTTTTTAGGAGAACATGAGGCTGCAAGGTGTTAAATGCTGAACTACTGGTATAGGTCCTAGCATTCTCAAGATGTCTAGTCACTACATGCACTGTATCATTTAACTGCATCATCTGTGCCTCTCTGGCATCTATAAGCCAACAGTATGGGTCAGCTGAAGTTTGCTTATCATACGTTTCTCCATACACTTCAAAACAACTGAAGTTAAAGCTATAGGTCAATACTGTCCTGTGGACAAGATGTCCTGGGAACAGGCACAATGATTTCTTCCACTGTGTTGGTACTGTATGGCAATCAACCTCTGAAAATAGAACACCGGGCAGGTGTCAGTTCATCTACTCACGTTTTTAATAGAAATGCAGAGGTACTATCTGGACCCATGGCCTTGGTGACAATTTGCTTGAATACCTTGTTGACAGCTTTAGGGTCAATCTCTAACCTGTCTACATCATCATAGGCCATACCATCAAGTGCCATGTCACAATCAACAGAGAATCAAGAGTATCAAACCGCTTAAAAAAAATCTATTCAGCTCTTTGCCATCTACGATTAATCTAACATGTAGAAATTTCTTTGCAGTGTTCATGTTGGTGACTGTTTTCGTAGCCTTCCATAGCTTTCCGAAGCTTGTGGCCTGGAGGTTGCTCTCCACTGCCTCCCTATAATGTTCTCTGGCTTCACTTAGCCCCTGGTTCAGCTCCTTCTGTACAGATTTCAGTTGTAGATAGTCCTTAGTCCGAATGCTTGCCCATTTCTGTGAATGCAGTCTTTTACATCCTTTGTAATGTAATGTTTATTACTGGGGTCAATTTCTATTGGTCTTTTTGGAATTACAAGTGTCAACACAGAATATTATATAATCTGTAGTGAAATCTGCGGCATTATCCAAGTTCAGCTCTCCAGAGAAGATGTCTGAACCTGTGCACAGAAAACAGCCTTTCAGTGTTTCTATGCTGTCCTCTGTCCATACGTTGATAGTTTGGACCAGGGGCTTACTACTCTTCAAAGCTGTCTTGTATATAGGAATGAGGTGAATGGTGTTATGATCCAAATTGGATAATAGAGGTTTTGCTATGGCTGCATATGCAAGTCCAATTCTTCCTGGTTTCGCGTTTAATATATTGTTGAAAACCCGGCAGAGCAATATTTAACTTGCAGTGGTTGAAATCTCCTGTAATAAGTACCGGGGCACAAAGCATTCATGGACACACCACCGACTACACACCACCACTGACTGTAGGCCGTGTACAAAGACAGATGATGTGACAGCTCTATGGGTTTATTCCTCTGAAAGTTGCTCACTACTACTACTACACTGTACTGCAGTACTACATCAGTTATTCGATTTCTGATCAGTCATACTGACCAATCTCTTACACAGCAGCTGAACAACAATAAAGGACTTAGGAGAAAACAATAAAGAGCAGAGTGGCAGCCTCTTATGCTCCCTCTGCCTCCTTCCTCCCCTCCATCATAGGCCACCATTTTCTTTCCCTCCTCTCTCCTCCCTCCATCACCTCCACCCACCACCCATCCACCCTCTCTTCCTCTTTCTCTCCCTCTCTGGAAAAACTGCATTAATTAATCCACAAAAAAGGAAAACATGCAGAGGACAAAAGAAAAAGAAATGCCTCTTCCCCCGTCCTTCTGCTCCCCCCCCCACCAAATGACAGGTGCACACAGATGAATAAAGGATAAATGAAGAGGACAGAGGATAAAGAAAGAGAAAATGGCAGCTCACCCCATCGCTGTTGCCTCCATCACCCTCCCTCTCTCTCTCTGGCTGACACAGGACAGTCAGCTGGGTGAGCAAGCAGCCAATCAGTAGCCAGAGACAGACAGCGAGGGGGAAGGGAAGGGGAGGAGCAGCCCCCTCCTGCTGCTCCCATCATGCTTTGGAGCAGATGCTGCAGGCAAACTGACCAGGTTACTGAGACACTAACACACACGGCATTAGCAGACAATACAAGTGTTCATTTAAACTTTAGCCGACACGGGACCTATGACGTGGAGTTTGCTGTGTGTTTAGTCTGCATTAGTCAAACATGTTGTCAAAGTGTTCCCATTAACGGTACGACAATGAGCAGTGACCAGCTCCTGTGTGCAGTGTTCCCATGGTACAGACAACTATTGTCGGATTACTGTGATACACTGCTCCCCTCGGGAAGGCGCCATTGGTCTATAAAGACACACGCTGCCAGATTCCTCAGAAGCTCCTAGCCAGGTGCTATTTGGGGATTATAATCATAGTTTGGATTATGGGGGAGCTAAGGGAAGCTTGGCTCCCCTGAAAAGGACACAGCTCACCCCAAAGCCTCCCCTGAGACCTTTAGGAGGAGCCCTACATTATCGTGCACTTTACTTTTATAGGTTACATTTTATTTTCCATACATTAAGGTTCCTGAAATAAAAAATAATAGTATAAATATGTCAATGTTGTATATTTATTCACTCATTACATTGCATTCTCCAAAGATCCATCTCCACTGATTAACACAATTCTGTCTTTTCCTGCTGCGGCCATCCATGTGTGGCAGCGCGGCACTCGAATTACTTTATTTATGTCATCACCTGAACTCCTCATCACTGAGTGGGTGCAGTATTTGAATGGACTGCAAGTCATTAATTAAGAAAACAAACTGGTTTTATTCAGTATTTCGGGCGGTTTAAGAATAGTCAGAACGTCAAAATGGAAACAACCCCGCCTGCTCGGACAATTTGGATTCACTTAAAGACAACGGTGATGACAACAGTGCGCTAACTACAGCTAGTCCAGCACCACTAATGACTCTTCCTGGCAGCTGCATGGAGGGAGATGCCTCGGCACCAGACACCACCATCGCCACCTGCAGTAGGGAACCTAGGCCAGAACCTGGTGATGCAACACCTTCAAATGGACGAGGAAGCAACTGAGTGAGTGGAGAAACAGGAATACATGGTGACAGAGAGGGACGAAGGGAGAGAAGGAGCCACAGACAGCGGTTTTATTTTGCTGGTTAAAAACAAGTTAGCTAAATAATGCTCAGCTTTTCTACACAAGTGTTGCATTGTTCTTGAAGGGGCATGTATGAGAAGCAGAAAGATGTTACCCGTGTCTGATTAGAATATTAAGCTTCTTGTGTGGTTTCTATGTTGTTCTTGTGCCTATATTAGGATTGATTTTAAATTGTTGATGTTTGTCTATAAGGCTGTACATGGTCTAGAACCTTCATATATCTCTGAGCTTGTGCGTTTTTATGCTACAGAAAGGACACTTAGGTCTTCTAAACAGTTGTTCCTGGAAGTACCGAAGTCCAGACAGAAACATTGGGGAGACCGAGCTTTTTCAGTTTGGGCTCCTATACTGTGGAATGGTCTGCCACGGGAGATTAGATCTGCTCCAAACCTGACTGTTTTTAGATCACTTCTCAAAACGCATTTGTATTCACTGGCTTTTAACAATTTTACTGATTGCTGTATTTGTTTTGATTATGCATTTTTGCTGTTATTTTATTGAGTAGATGTGTTTTATCTTGTTTTATTTATTTTTATGTTTTACTGGAAAGTGTTAGGGTGATTTATTTTTATTTTTAAGTAGATATGAATCGAATTAGTTAAGGTTTTTACTTTACAGCATACAGAAGTCTATATACTTTAATCTCACAGTTATGTTTATGTAGTTACACATCACCCTATGTGTTCACTGAATCACTGGTCAGTATTTATAGTGTTAGCCAACTGGAGCACTGTTTAACATCAAAGGGACTGGTTCACTAAAACACTGAATCTCATTAGATTTACAGCTTTGGCAAAGTGACCGGGCCAATATACAGGCCTAGGCAACTCAGACCGTAGTAACTCTTAGTAGTTCCCCAAGAATAACACCCCTCCTATTTTCAGAGGTCAAATTCACGCAAACTTCCCCAGTACTGAGCTGCTACCCCCAGATAGATCTGCAAACACGGAGACGTTGGAGTTACTCACACAGATAAAACTGAGTCAAAGTATAATTTAACAATGAAAATGTTTTAAGAAGTCTAACCCCAGAAGCTAAAATGCTAAACAGTTTTTGACCAATTAGATAGTAGTACCTTTTCATACAAATATTGTATACCAACAAGTTGAGGACAGTCTTTTCTGTTTATCCTAAACAGTGAAGATCCATGTGCACATGCTTATTTTGATACGTTAATGCATAATAAATTTCACACTGGGGAATATCCATTTACTAGTCTTCTCTTTTCAAATAAAAGAACTCGCCTCACAAAAGGGCCTTGTAATGTAGGTTTAGAAAGGTGCTATATAAATAAATTTTGCTTGCTTGCTTGCTATATGAAATGTTACTGATGGTATTATCTACCCACAGTAGTAGTAGTGAAATGTTTTCTGTAGTAACCCTGTTATTGACCGCGCAGCCGTGCACTTATATGTGTGCGTGTGACTTGAAAAGTCATAGCGCATAACAGAAAATGGGGCTCCACTAAAAGCTGCTGTGTAATTCGAACCTTCATTATAATTATAAAATTCCTCATTCCCCCCCCAGCCACTGGGAATTTACTGGTTTCATACGACTGGAGCTACAACTCATTGTCCGCTCCCGCGACGACAACAACAACAACAACAACAACAACAACGACGACGACGACGACGACGACGACGACAACCACCATCACCCTCAGGGAGCCCCCGGAGCACCAGGCACAAGTAAGCAGGCTGAAATCAGGAGAGTGAACCAGAGACGAAGATGCAAGTGAGGCAAGCGTGGGGGACTCCATGCTAAGCTAAAAGCTTGCGCTACCCAACCGCCATTACCCATCCTCTTCCTAGTTAACGTACAGTCTCTGGAAAACAAACTGGACGAGCTAAGGGCTAGGATAACAGCACAACAGGAAATCAGAGAATGCTGTGCTCTAATTCTCACCGAGACTTGGCTTTCTGACAGAGTTCCAGACTCTGCGATTCAGCTACAAACACATTCTGTACATCGATGTGATCGCACTGCTGCTTCAGGGAAGGTAAAGGGAGGTGGTGTGTGTGTGTGTGTGTTTTTTTATTAATAACTTATGGTGTGGAGATGTACGGACTGTTTATAAGCACTGTTCACCAGACATAGAGTTGTTATTGCTGACATGCTGGTCCTACTATCTAGCCAGGGAGCATAGTGCTGTGTTTCTGGCTGCTGTGTATGTTAGCCCAAGAGCTAATCCCTCTGCGGCTATCAGCAAACTCTATGATGTCATCAGTGCGCTAGAGATAGTGCACCCCGATACAGTATTTATCGCTGCAGGCGACTTTAACCGGTGCAATTTACAGACTGTACTTGCCAAATATTACCAACATGTGAACATTCCCATCCGGGGCAAGAACACTCTGGATCATGCTTACAGTAACATACGTGGTGCATAGAAAAAATTAGTACCTGTATCGACAACATTGTGCCCACCATACAAGTCAGGAGGTTTCCCAACCAGAAGCCCTGGATAAACAGTCAGGTACGCCACATGCTGCTTGCTCACTCTCATGCATTTAGATCAGGCGATGAGACGGAGTACAAAGCTGGGAAGTACAGACTGAGGAAAGCCATCACAGCGGCCAAGAGGCAGTACAGAGAGAAGCTGAATGGCTTCGTGGCTGCCCTCCACTATTCCCTTTCTCACCTGGAAAAATGGAGACTCCCACATCTTTAAACTCTGGACCCCAGAGGCTGAAGGCACCCTGCAGGACTGTTTCGCCCAGACAGACTAGGATGTGTTTAAAGCTGCAGCCACCTTAGAGGACTTTTCTGACAGCATACAGGATTATGCTGAGTACACACTAACTACTTGATTATTTATTGAATAAAAGGAAGTATCCTGGTGTCTGTGCCTGCATCAACAGTATGTATATTCAGATAGTCTGAAATGACTTATTTTTTTTATATTTTGCCAATTTTATTTTGCAAGAGGAGAGAGGCCATGTGACAGCAGCGTTCCTCTGCTTATCAGCATGATGCGCTGCAGGGCTGACAGAGCTCAAGGCCAGATTGAGAAGTAGTGAATGACTGTGTGTGTGTGTGTGTGTATCCATGTTTGCACAGTTTATTCTTTGGGCAAATAGCATGCATAGTTCAGTAAAATAAGAAACACAAAGTCCTGAAACTGATAAACATCACCCAGTTGGTAGAGAAAGTAAATCACTGTGGCATTATAGTTGTCGTTGCGGTTGACCCAAACAAATTGAAAACAGACTTTAACCATTTCTCCTCCTGTAGCCTGGTAAATTAGTGCTGACTGAATCCTCCTTAGATGCCAGTTCCATTTCTGGAGGCAGGAACATTATTAGACATCGCCCGTGTCCTAAGTCCCAGCATTGCAACCGGTTTAGGAGAAATATAGGTCATCATGGAAAATCTACCTCCAAACCTCCCTCCAGCTCAAATCCAACTGACATCTTTGAGGTAAGAGAAGTCGTTGGCTGCACAGTAATCCTTCCGGTCATACTGAGCTTCAAATTCAATCTAGGTTTTCTCATTATAGGTTTTAGAGATACTGAGACCCCATACTGTTCAAGAGATAGTTCAGCTAATCTGATAGGGTTCTGTAGTAAGGCCTGCAGAAACCAATGATCCTGCATCCACAGGTTAGGGATATTAACAGCGTAGAGCAGGCAGTGGAAACTCAAGAGGGAAGATGGAGGGCTGAGGCCAAGTATGGTAAATCTAACCTTACTCATTCTTATTTGTTTGGATAGCCAAGAAATGTGCCCCAAATATCTGTAAGGGTGAGTCTGTGCTTGTTTGTGGAGAAACTGAAGTGAGAAG